CACCAAGTCCCGGGGGGAAAGGGTCAGGGGCCGGGGTCCCAGCAGCTCAAGCCAGCATGCCCCGCCCCTGCACACACCACGCTGCACACGCCCCATCCCTTCCCCGCAGGCTCTCAGGGGCAGAGGCAGAAGGAGAGACGCGTCCCCGAGTCCCCTGGATGACGTGTGCCGGTGGGGGACAGGAGTGAAACTTGGCCATGGGCGAGGGGCTGATATGTCTGTGCCCATCCTCTTCGTTCTCCCTACCCCCTCCCCAGCGGTCTAGTCCCCACCCCGGGGCCTCTTGGGCATAGCCCTTTGTTATCCTGCAGTTACCCCAAATAAGAGGGTGGCGTTCCCCCATGTTACAGATGAGAAAACCAAGGCTCGGCTAAGTTGAGAGACATGCTAGCTGGGCTGGGAGCCCCAGAGTCCCAAAACTCTCCGTCTCGGAAGGAGCTGTCAGGCTGACATTCGGGAGCATGGTGTCCCTTGGGGCAATGTCCCATGGCAGCAGCCGGGCCTCCCCTTCCAGGTTGGGCAGAATCCGACCTCGTGCCCTGGGGACAGAAGCCGCCCCATTTCAGGCTGACAGCCAGGCCGTCCTGGTGCTGGGCTCAGGGAGCAGGTAGGAGCCCGGGGGGCCAAAGCCCCTGGCAATGGCCCAGCCCATGGCCTCAGGTGCTCAGGCGGACCCCAGAACGAGAGCAGGACTGCCCCTCAGCCCTCAGGGCTTTCTCGCAGGGCATGGAATCCCATGTCCCCACGGAGATCCTCAGAGGTGGGAGAAAACCTCAGGTCACACCCCCTCCCAGAGCCACTGGGCAAGGAGGGGCGCCCTGGGGTGCGGTTAAACACCCCCCTTTGGGTGAGGCCCCTTCCTGCCTTCCTACCCCGCCCACACACACACACCGCACAGGGAGCCCGCGGTTGCCGGGACTCTGGGTGGCCCCTGTGCACAGCCAGAGGCACTTAGATCCAGGAGGGCCCAGCCTGGTCCGGGGGGCGGGGGGGGGGGGGGGGGGGGGTGGCAGGTCCTTGTGATGTGGCCCTGGACCCTCCTGCCCTGGAGCTGGCTTTGGGCTCAGAATCTGCCACTCTGGGCCCCCTCCGGGGTTCGGGGGCGAGAGAAGCGAGTTGGGAGAGCTACCGCCATCACCCCCGCCCCAGGGCCTGCCCTGGAGACATTCTCCGCGAACCAGCCACTCTGGGCCTGAGGCGAGAGAGCAGTCCAGCCGCCGCGAAAACTAGCCTTTTGTGTCGCCGCTGGGTGGCACTCCCGTACGCCGAGGATTTGGCCCTCACACGTCTTCGCCAGCAGTTCTCAAACTTGGGCAGGCGTCAGAATCACCTGGGGGCATTTTCGAACCAGATTGCTGGTCCCCACCCCCAGGAAGGGGAGGACTGAGAATCTGCATTTCTAACAGGTCCCGGGGTGCTGTTGCTGGCCTTTGGAAACCACTGCTTTAGACCACACCCCAAAGGACACGCCACCTTCCTTTGCGTGTCACCACCCGCAGGGTTCAGAGGTCCCTAGGGCTGTCTAGCTGAGCCCCACTCACAGTCGCCAGAGACTGTCCTCACTGGATCCCCTGGGGTGAAGGGGGGCGGGTGAAATGTCACAGTGGTCAGCCCACCACCCACCAGCAGCTCCTGACCTGCCCTGAAAGGTTCTCAGGTGATGTGCGGCCTTGGCCGCGTGCCTGGGTCCCTTCCAGGAAGGGGATGTGTTACACACCCCACCCCTTTTCCTGCCAGCTCCTGTGTGCCTGGGGAAGGCCCCACTGTGGGCTCCCTTCTCCCCTCAGCCCTGCACTCCCTGCCCCCCACCTCCCTGCTTATGAACCTGACACCCCGTTCCGCCCTGTGCAAGTGCCCCTAGCCACTCCAGGCAGCCCAGTGTGAGTGGGGCCAGATGGGCTTCTAGAACCAGCTGGCCCCTAGAAGTGGGTCATCCCAGGATTCTAGAAACAGACGATGCCTTAGCCTGCTGCCTGCAGAGAAATTGCTTTTGTTGCAGTTGTCCATAGCTGACCTCAGTGTAAGCCCAGCTTCACGTACTAATAAAGGAACTGTATCTAGGACTGCCCTCTGTGGACTTTTTTTCTTCCTGCCCTGCAAGGAAATCCCAGGCCATCCAGTCACCAAATGGATCGCAGCCCACTGCTATGTGCCAAGGCCAGGTGATAGCCATGGATCTTCTCTGAGGAAGCCCACTGGCCGATTGATTGGGTCCCACATGCCTTTTCTTGCCAGCTGTCACCATGTGTTTGTCTGAATTTACCTCTTCTACTCACAAGTTTCATTAGCCAGGCGAGAGCCAGGGTCCCTCAGGTGTCCCTGAGCTGCGTACCTCTCAGCTTTCTGCCTTTGCTCAGTCTGTATTTCCACCCCATTTTCTTTTTCTTTTTTTTTTTGAATTAGAGTCTCACTCTGTCGCTCAGACTGAAGTGCAGTGGCCGCCACCACAGCCTCGCCTGCTGGAATCCGCTGATCCTTCCGCCTCAGCCTTCCAAGTAGCTGGAACTACAGGCGCGCGCTACCATGCCCGGCTGATTTTTTTCTTTTTGTAGAGATGAGGTCTCGCCAAGTTGCCCAGGCAGGTCTCAAACAGGCAATTCGCTCACCTCAGCCTCCCAAAGCGCTGGGATTACAGGCTGAGCCG